GCAGACAGGCAGGTAGGCAGGCAGCTGAAAAAAACCCCCTCTGGGGTCCTTGGGTCCTTCCTGGGTCTGTTGTCGCACAGGCCGGGAGCTCCCGCGCAGGCCGGGAGCTCACGCGCACGCCGCCGGGTGATCGCAGCAGGTTTTTTCTTTCAGTATTTGAGAAATATCATGCCATTTCTTTCTGCCCTCCATAGTTGCTGATGAGGAATCTGCTGTACAGTAGATTCAGCCTGTAGCACCAACAGAAGGCACTCATGTGAACATGTGTACAAGGCCAAAGCTTTCCCAAGTTTGAAACTCCAGCTTCAGGCAAATAAATTATTGGTTATTCCACATTTTATAAATTAGGAAATACAGTGCAACATGAAGATTTAACCAACATTTTTCAACTAAAGTTTCAAAGTTTGAAAAATTTTCCCTGTTTTATTAAAGCCTAGAAAGATAGATAATCCATGCACAGGAAGGGAAAAAGAAATGTGCAAAATAACTTTTCATGTCTTTTTCTTTTCAACCCTTCCTAGAGAGAAGACTTGTGTCCTATCTCTCCTTATCAGAAATGGAACCAAGCAATGGCAGCAGGAACTGCATGATTGAAAGCTTCAAGAAAGAATTTTACCCAATTGTATATCTGATAATATTTGTCTGGGGAGCCTTGGGAAATGGCTTGTCAATTTATGTTTTCTTGCAGACTTACAAGAAGTCCACATCTGTGCATGTTTTCATGCTCAACCTGGCCATTTCAGATCTCCTATTCACAAGCACTCTGCCCTTCAGGGCTCACTACTACCTGAACAGCTCCAACTGGATATTTGGGGACCTAACATGCAGAATTATGTCTTATTCCTTGTATGTCAACATGTACACAAGCATTTATTTCTTAACTGTGCTTAGTGTTGTGCGTTTCCTGGCCACTGTTCACCCCTTCCGGCTTCTCCATGTCACCAGCTTCAGAAGTGCTTGGATCCTTTGTGGGATAATATGGATCTTTATCATGGCTTCTGCGGCAGTGCTTCTGAAGGGTGGTGCTGAGCTGAAGAACAATATCACAACATGCCTGGAGTTGGATTCCCAGAAGCTTGGTAAGCTGCTCATCGTGAACCACATTGCCTTGGTGGTAGGCTTCCTGCTGCCGTTCTTCACACTCAGCATCTGTTACCTGCTGGTCATTCGGGTCCTGTTAAAGGTGGAGATCCCAGAATCAAGTCTGCGAGCTTCTCACAGGAAAGCACTGACCACCATCATCATTGCCTTGATCATCTTCCTCCTGTGTTTCCTGCCTTACCATACACTGAGGACCCTCCACCTGATCACATGGAGCAAGGATTCATGTGGAGATGGGCTGCATAAAGCTGTGGTTGTCACCCTGGCCTTGGCAGCAGCCAATAGTTGCTTCAATCCTTTTCTCTATTACTTTGCTGGGGAGAATTTTAAGGATAAGTTGAGGGCTGTATTCAGAAAAGATCATCTAGAGAAGGCAAAGACAAAATGTAGTTTTCCTATTTGTGTGTGGCTGGAAACAGAAACAAGACTGTAAAGAGTTAGTAGGTGAGACTTGTTCATGTATCTTATGTCCTTCATTCATGCCTAGTCTCCAAATTACTTTGTATTTGCATCATTCCCAACAGATGTTAATCCCCATTTAACTGACCATGACTTCTGTCAATAAGGCCTACGTTAGGAATTTCACTGGGTATATTTTCAGTGATACAGTCTCAGCGAGGGATGTAGTTGGAAAAAATCCCTACTGGACTATTGCATGCTAAATGTCAGATTGGAGGCAAATGTCAAGCGCAGTGGATTCTGCTTTTCATCAGATTCTGAACCAGATCTCTAATCTATCACACATTTTAAATTCTTAACTTTGAAAAGGTAGTCATGTATCTCAATTTTACCTTAAGCCTTGGGTTTGGACTGACATCACTGAAGTCCTCACTTTTGCCCATTAATCCATCAGGATGGTGGCCCGAATAAAGGATTTGGAATAATGATTTGGTTGAGCACTCAGGGGAAAGGTAGGGTGTAGAGCAACTTAAAGAGGTTGCTGTACCCCTGAAATTCTATTAGTGTGCAGCAGAACATGAATAGAGAATGCAAGAAAAGTACCAGATAATGGTAACGGTTCTTTTCTGTCCACTGAAAGAAGACTAATAATACTACCATTGACTACCATCATGATTACTATACTCTCTACAATTGAGTGATCTCCTTGTACTAAAGATACTGTGCTAGACCCTTTAGGTCCATTAATCCCACAATTCCCTCACATTTAAGCTCTAGGGAGTTTTCATTTCACAGATGAAGAAAAGGAAGCTCAGAGAAATTAAGAAATATGTTCAAGTTCACAAATTTAGTAAAAGCTTTAAAAACTTCCATGTAGAAATATTACTTGGTGCTCTCTTCATTAATTAAAGATTTATTGATTAATATTTCTTGAGAAACTCCAGGAGCAGTGGTTGAAAGCATGAGTAAGAGTTCTCTTTTCCTACTAGGGATAGTTTCCTCCTCATTCTCACAAGAAAACCTATGAGGTATCTTTGGGGTTGCTGGCCTTCAGTACAGTGCAGTGTGGTGTTTTGAAGATAGGGAGGAACTAAGGCAGTCTTTACACTAGACAAGTACCCCCATGCTTTCCTTTATTCATCTACCAGAGTGACAGATAGATGCCTGTCAAGACAGGACACTAGAACCTCCACTTATGGAGACACTTCCCTTTCCTAGGACAAAGGTAGATAGATATAGATGGCTGGGGACCTTCCAACCCCCAAACTGAGTATCTGCCTTCTTATCTACTTGACAGTGAAGCCCACATGCAATGAATCCCTTCCACTCACATAGAGCACCTAATCGATTTGTTACAGTCTCACTCTTGACTGTGAATGACTGTCAATGGCCACTACATCTTTGAAGAAAGGCCCTGACACAAAAAAATATGACAAATAGATAGAGACATTTCTGATATGAAAGGTCTCAACATTTTAAATCACCCTTGCCCCTTAATGGAAAAGCTACTGGGGCATGTGCTCCCATGAAATAAGAATTACATCAAAAGAGAATTAAGAAATAAGGAATCTAACATAGGAGAAATGTGGGGAGAACTACCAGGATGTCAGTACACAGATGGGTTAGAAAACAATTCATATGAGTTGGAACAGGAATTTCAAAGACTCTAAGCAGGACAACTCCAAGAAAATCAAGAAATCAATTGACTCACATGCATTTAAGGGTTTTATATTTCTCTTGGGAAGTTTGGGATGAACTAATGAAGAACGGTAGAAAAATAGATAAGCAAAAGATAATGAAATTATTAAATGTTAGGGGAAAATAAATTGTGTAATAGAAGGAATATTACCGTAGTACACTACATGGCTCAGTTGTGAATAACATTTATATAGAGAATAAAATAGATATAGGCACACTGTGATATATTTATTCAGGAAATGAAGGCAGAAAGTGTGCATATATATGGGAGATGTATAAGAAACCTTAATTCCCATCTTCCATCAGAGAGAATGCATACTAATTAAACCTGGAAAATAGCTCTATAATGATATTTAGCAGTAAATATCATAAAAAGAAGAAAAAAGAATGAACAGATTGCCTCTAGGCACAAGTTGCAGGTGAGAGGATAGGGTGGGACCTTCTCTTTCTTTTTAAGAATTGTTTAACTGTCTAATTTGTGAATGTTCATTGCTGAAATAAAATAAAAAGTTAAATTAAAATTTAAAATTCAAATTAATTCTAAGTTTTTAAAGAAACAAGAAAAATATAAAGGTTAACTGTCTTTTGCAGGTTTTTGTTACTGAAAAGCTGTCAGCTGTACTGTTGCCATTTCTTTATTAACAATGGCTAGTATTTACTCGTGCTAAGCTTCCATTTAGAAAATACACATAGGGGTCAGGGATTTAGCTCAGAGGTTCCACTGCCAGCCTCTTAAACACAAGGTCCCAAGTTTGATCCCCAGTACAAAAAAAATGCACTTAGATTTTTCATGCAATACAAGAAATTGAAAATATTACCAATGGTATTTTACAGATGAGGAAACTGAATCATAGAGAAGTGATTTGCCAAAATGTACTGTACTTGCAAATGATATAACCAGTGTTGAAACCCAGTCAGTACAGTTCCAGGGTTCATGTTCTCATCAATCAAAATAATCCCACACTCTTATCTACTGTAAGGTGATATTGTCTTGCAGATGAACTGCTTCTCTTTCAGGTTGTCCTTAAGATCTTCTCTGTATTTGTGTTCTGAAATATTGCTATAACTTGTGGAGTTGTATTCTTGTTCATTACTATGATTTGAATTCAGTTGTGCTTAACACATTGTTAAATCCATGTTTTGCAATTTTTATTTTCATTAGAGTAGGTACTCCATATCTGTAAATCCTGAATCCATGGATTTCACTAACCACACATGGAAAATATTTGGAGAAAGTGTTTTGTCTGTACTAAACATGTGCAGATTTTTCTTGTCATCATTCCTTCAACAATATATTTATACAGCATTGTATTAGTAATAATGAGTAGCCTAGGGGTCATGTAAAGTCCATGGGATGAGGGACATAAGTTATATGTAAATATTACACTCTTTTATATGAGGAATTTGAGCATCCACAAATTTTGCTATTGCTGGTGAGTACTGAAATCAATTCTCCATAGATACCAAAGGACAACTATATTTTACTTGTCATTTCTTGAAATCTATTTTTTTTGAAGTGACGTGGCTGTAATTTACAGTTATTTGCTCTTGTTAATCCCGTGTTTCCTCCAAAATAAGACCTAACCAGAAAATAGGCATTGGTGGTTACCACTGTGTTGATGGCCAGTGTCATGCAGATTATACCTCAGGATTCTCTTGTGGAGGGGGCTACTCTGCAATCACAGGTAAGGTAAGGTGATTGGGGTGGGTGATTTTGATCTCTAGTTTTCAAGATGGATTATTTTCTGGTTAGGTCTTATTTTGGGGGAAACATGGTCTTTTCACTCAAATTAATTAAAATATACATTTTATACTTTTGATCTAATAATTCTATTATGAAGTGTTTGCCAGTCTGACCTTGCTATCTATCGTTTCTGCTTCATCTCACCCAGGCATATGGTGTGTTTTGTGATTTTTAACTGTGAGCCCTGTTGTTTGAAACCTTTCATTGGGAATTATTAAGAATTATCTTTACATTTCTTTTTTTTTAAGAGTAGGAAAAATTTATTGAAAGATAGTATCTAAGAGAGACAGAAGGGGGATCAAAAGTGGGCTGCGTCTATCTTTCCCTTTCTTTAGAGATGTTGTACATTTATATCTGTCAGGTTTTAGAGTGTATAACAGTCTTGGAAACATATTCACCATTTTTTTGTTTGTTTGTTTTACAAAACCCCATTGAAATTGCAAATTGTGGCCATAAAATCCCTAGTAATTAGCTCATGATTAAAATTTTTTAGGTCAGATATTTTCTTCCACCTAAGAGGGAAAAAGTGCTTTGTTCTTCCCTCTTCAAATAGGTTTGCTTCTCATATGCTGTTATGCTGAGAGAGGAGCCTACTGAGATTTAGCTTTATGTGGGGGGATAACATAGATCTTGTCCACAAATTGTCACCACTGATTCTTTACCTGCAAGTGCATGTTATTCATTTCATCAAGTGCAATCTAATTCTCCTTCTCTTATATATGATTTATTTGGCCAATACAATACAGCGGAAATAATATTCTGGGACTTCAGTGGCTGGTCATTAACATGATATTAAGGTTTGTGCCTGCACCTCATGGAACTAGCTCTTAAGATGCTCCTTCTTGAAACTAAACCATAATTCTGTGAAAATATCAGTCTACCCAAAGAAGTAGTATGAAGATGCTTTAGTTGATAATCCCAGCTGGTCTTCCAGCCAACATCTGGGATCAACTGCTACCAATGTGAGCCCTCCTGGGGAGAGAGCCATGCCTTTAGATGGCTTCAACTCCAGCATCCCTTTACCTGCAATCTTATGACATGTCCCAAGTGAGAACTTCCTGCTGAGGCCAGTCAACTGTAGAGTAATATATTGTTGATTTAGGCCACTAAATCTAGCAGCAGTTGTTACACAGCATTTCTTCAGTTAGACTTTCCAACTTGAATGAGATGTAGGCTTTACCCCTGGGTTTCCTCACCCTATGAAGTTATCTATATAGTAAAATAAGTTCACTAGAGTTTAGAAAATATAGTGAAAGTAGTTGTTTACCCTATTCTTCTCTGAGTTCAAACTTTTACTTTTTTTATTTCTCTGAAGGTTTTTTTTTCTTTATTTTGTACTCTACAGTGTAGTAGACTTAAAAATTAAGATTATAAGACAGACTATTATGCAGCTTTCCCATTGCTGGACACAATACCCAACACCCACAAATTACAGGAGGAGAAATCCACATTTGGCTCACATTATAAGAGGATTCATCCACGGTCATCTGGCTCCAAGGCAAAACAATGGTAGAAGAGCATAGTGAAACATAGCTGCTTAGCTCATGGAAACTGTAAACAAAAGCAAGGGAACAGTGCCTGAGGAAGGGGCTAGGGACCAGACATAAACCCAAGGTCATGCCTCCATGAACCATCCAGATACACCTAAAATGTTTTCACCAATCCCCCTGGGGGTCTCCCAAATCAATCAACTTCTCACAATCAAGCTTAACAGCACTCTGGGAGGCTGAGGCAAAAGAATTACAATTTCAAGCCCAGCCAGGACAAATTAGCTATTTGGTAAGATCCAATTTAAAAAGAAAGAAAGAAAGAAAAGCTAACAATGGAGCTTAGTGCAAGAGCCCTGGGTTCAATTTCCAGTAAAACACACACACACACACACAAACACACACACACACACACACACACACACTCACACACACACTGAAGATTATACAGATTTTATTATGTCAAAATTGGAGGAAATGTCATTCTCTACTGTCAGAAATGGATGCATTTTTGCTGCTTTGAATAAAAAAGAAATAAGGTTCTGAATTATTTAAGATTTGAGTATGAATTTGATAGAAACTTGTGACATGCTTTCCTAATGAGAATGTCCATTCCATCTGCTGTGTTCTCCAATCCAGCTTCCCTTTCTAATGCTGCAGTCAAACTGGCATTGCCAAAGCCACCAATGGCAACCATATTGTGAAATCTAAAGACTCCTTCCTGAGCCTCCACTTAGATGATCTTTGTTGCATTTGACACAATCAGTCACTATCTGTCTTTATAACACTTTATTTCTTGGGGCTTTGAGATGCAATATTTGAGATTTCCTGCCACATCTCTAGCCACTTCTTCAAACAGGCTTCAGTTTAGGTGCCTCTGTGTGTGTTTTAGCTCATTCATTAGTGAGCATCACTGGATGGATCAGAATTCATGTTTACCTTTTGGCACTTTAGTTCTGTCTGACTTGAGTTATCCAGCAACCAGAGATCCTAGTGATAGGAGTTTTTTTTTTTTCTTCAAGATTTCACCACAACTGGATCATCCCTTCTGCAAATTTGAATATCTTGGTATCAACATTTTTGATGAAGGTCGTGTTTCCCCTACAGCATCTTCTTTGGCCAACCTCAGTGGCAAAGGTCAATGTCCTAGCCGTTCCCAACAGTGTACACTCCACTTCTACCTATGCAGACATAGCCTTTGTTGACTACAAGTACAGAAATTAAAAACAAATATGTCTTCTTCCAAGTCAGACTTTCAAACAAAACCTTTGTAAATTTATTTGAAATGAACTTCCAAAATATAAGAACTACCATCAATTTGATTCCACAAGTTATTTTATGAGGTACCCATAGATAAATTTCAGGAACTGTCCTTGTCATATTAAAGGTATAAAGATGAGTGAGTAAGACATGAACTAGCAAAAGGCTGAAAATACATCCATAAAACATCAACTCAGGAAGTCACGTGTGCTACAAGCAAGATATATATATAAAACATGAAGAGAGAATAAGGAAAAAAGAATTCTAGTTCAAAATAAGGCTTTGTGGAAAAGGGCTATAGGCAGATACCACATAACCATGTTTTTTGTCAATGACAGACCACATATATGACAGTGGTATCCTAAGAATATATTACCTAGTGACATTGTAGTCATCTTGGCTTGTATAAGTACGTTCTGTGACATTCTGATGACTCACTTCTCAGAAGGTTTCCCTACTGATATATGATACATGACTATATATGGCTTAACCCTTAAAGAAAAGGCAGAATATAGCAGATAGATATTGAGGGAGGGGAAAAAAGAAGCACATTTCAGTTGAAGGACAAGTGAATACATGAATGTGTCCTGGTAGATACACAGATCCTTGGAGAAAGAGTAGATAAGAGCAGTTTGGGTGGGATCATGGAGATGTGTGTGTCATGCTAAAGGGCATGATATAATTCAGGAGGCCATAATGACTTCTGAGTGGAGGAACCTAATGACTAGAGCTGGGCATGAAGAGCTTTACTTTAGAATGAACACATAGGCTAGATTTCCAATGTTGATATAGAAATATGTATTAAAGTGAAACAATTTATTCTTGATTATCTTTGGTTGCACATGACACTCTTCCTCTCAGCTAGAGGCGATAAGCACAAATTAATTTTATTAGGTTTGCTTGAAAGGAAATGGTTTACAACTTAGAGAAGAAAAGTTATGCACTTTGAAAAATCTATGCTGCTCTTCACTGGTCTTCAAAGTGGCTCACTTTGGCCATATTTGGGCCTTCTAGTTTTGTTTAAAACAATAACAAAATCTACTCTTGAGCTGAATATATTTATGGCCTGGCTGGGATCCTCTGCTTTTTTAAAAAAAGTGTGATGAATAATCTTGTAATGGGTAATCTCCTCCAAGAGGGCTGGGCCTCATCCAATCCATTTAGGGCCTGAACAGAAGAAAAAGGCAGAGAAAGGGAGAATCTCTGCTGCTACCTGACACGAGCTGGAACATTGCTTTTCTGCCCTCATGCTAGGCTTTACATTCAGCATTCCTGGTTCTCGAGACTGCAGACTTGCATTAAAACAACCCTGGCTGTCCTGGGTCTCAGATTGCAGAATGCAAATGGCCAGACTTCTTAGCCTCCATCATCACATGAGCAATGTTTCAAAGTAAATTTCTTTATATACAGACAGACAGATATATAGACACAGAAGCAGATACAGATCTATCCTATTGGTTCTCTGGAGAGTTCTGATGAATACAAAGTTTCATTGGTAACTGAGGGTCTCTTACCGAAACTTACTCTCCTACTCTCTTGGGGAGTTAAATTATTTTGCATGCTTAGTTCTCCATTTTAAATTTAATGCATTTTGGAACAGTTTCTCAATATCTGAGTTTTGTCTCCAAGCAAAATATAAACCTGAAAAAGCAGTATGCTTGTAAAAGAATGCTTGGTCAGGTGAACTCCTAGCTATTCTAGCACTTGATACTTTCCAGCAATGGGACCTTGGGCAAGAACTTCATTCTCTTTGGGCCCAAACTGCAGGATGGGGTAGACAAGCCCTCCCCTGCCTGTGCCGCCACCATCACTCCAACACCAGGAAGGTAGCCATGTGGCACCCCTTAACCCCCCCAACTCTCATACCTCCTGATTGTGCCACTCTTTGGACCCACTCTGCAGAGGCAGAGGTGGTCATAAAGGGTATTTTTCTGAGCTCCCAACTTTGAACATCTTTAAAGAAAAGGCAGGGGAAACCTTGTAGAACTGTGTGGAGTTCAACCCTGCAGGAGGTTGGGGAACTCAATCTGGGCCTTGCAGGCTGAGGTCAGTCTGCATCGTGGGGTTCTGCCATCAGCTAGCTGAGATCAGGGGACTTGTTTCTGCACATGACTGCACATGTTGTATATTGTGACAGCAGATATATAGTCTGAAAGAGGCCCTTCAAATTCATTTTTTTCTTTCTTTTCCTCATTCCACTCTGAAAATTCTTTCTTTTTTCTGTCCTCTTTTTCAGTTCAGTCTCTTGCTCCACCATATTATCCCTCATTTCCCCTTCTGTTTCTGCTTCTGCTCTAACTCATATTTCTTCTTTTATCATTTTTTTTTCTTTTTTCTTTATGTTCTTCTCTTCTGTCATTCTACCTGACTCAAGGGTCAATAGGTGCAAGTGAAAGTGAGCCCCTATTACTGTTAAGGGGATATATTCTTGTCCTTATACTTGTACTCTGTCTATCCCTTTTGAATTTAACAGTTTCCTAAAGATTGTGTGGTCATTCTATGTCCTCTGGGTTCACCTGAAACCTTCTCCAATTCTTTTACTTATCTACTCCTCTTGTACTAACTCTGTCTAAATCCCCATCCTAAATGGTAAATATGCTATATTGAAAAGTTTATTCACTGCAAACATATTTTGGACTGCTTCTTGATTTTAATTTAATTCACATAGTTTAAAGGAGATAGACTAATAACTACCACAAAGGATAAAGGATTGTGATTGATTTAATGAGCTGTTTTTTCTGACATTATGAAAATGAGAATGTCTATAAGTTATTAGAGACACAAAAGCTAAAGTGCAACTATATCAGGAAGATTTAAATAATAACCCAAAAATTAAACCAAGGACAACCCAACAACAAAAATAAAAATTAGAAAACACTTAAGCAAGACACAAAGACAGACTTCCAGTTCACCAATGGCAAACAGTAGGGCAAAGGAGGATGAAAAGTCTGATAGTGAACCATGAGGACTCAAAGTGATAGTGAACTCAAAGCACAGGAAGTAACAAAACAGATCAATCAGCCTCTAGAAAAATTCAAAATAGAAATAATTTCCCACATAACCATAGAGATGGTGAGCAAAATGAAAGTCATGATTCGAGAGTCTAGAATAGAAACTGACAAGAAAATAGATGAGCTCAGGACCATGATAGAAGCCATGAAGGCCCATCATAAGAAAGAAATGGAAACAATAAATGCAAAACATAGGAAAGAAATAGAATCCATAAAACAGATTCACACAGATGTCCAGGAGATTAAAAACTCTACTGAAAGTGTTCACAGGAGAAAAAAAGACTGCAAAGATAGAATCTCAGATATAGAAGATAAGATTGCAGTCAGTGACCGTGAAAAGAGAGGTCTCTTAAAAACAGTAGGGGACCATAAGAAATTGATCCAACAACTCTAGATGATGCAAAGAAGAATAATATGACTGATAGGAATCCCTGAAGTAGCAGGAGAAAATACAAATGACTTTAAAAAGCTGTTCACAGAATTAATGACAGAAAACTTCCCAAACAGAGCAAAAGAATTTGACATACAGACAAGTGAGGCA